ACTGTGTGCTCACACATCATTATTGTCCTGTTTGTAATACGTACATGTACAGTCGCATTCTGAACTGCGATTATGAGTTTGTCTCCCCCTGGTGGGATGAAGTGTCTCTCAATGCAAAGGATCTGGTGAGTACTGTGCTCACACATCATTATTGTCCTGTTTGTAATACTGATGATGTTCATGCACTGCTGACTGATTTCAGATGGGATGAGAGAGAACAGTATCTCCATCAAAATATCAACAGCCGACTCAGATGCTGATTTGATTATTCAATCGTCTGAGCTTTTACACTCTTTGTTTATTCACCATTAGCTGTTGGTTATGTTTGTTTGATGTTGTCTGTAGGTTAGTAAGCTCATAGTGCTGGACCCTCATAAACGGCTCACAGTGAAACAGACTCTGGAGCACCCATGGGTGCTTGGAAAAGCAGCACGATTCTCCCACATGGACACAACACAAAGGAAACTACAGGAATTTAATGCTCGGCGCAAATTAAAGGTAAGCCACCAATAGCTATGATAAATAAAAGTGTCTACAATAAAGAAAAATACAACCTTTAAAAAATGTAGTCTACTGTTGAGATTTTAGAAATGTCCTCTTTGTGTTCAAGATGTTTGCATATAATTTAAATTTGAATAAAAGTTATAATTCAACTTTTTAATAACTTTTTACTTTTATAAGTGTATATCTTGATCTTTAAATATATTTATCAAGGTAAAAATATTGGGAATTATGAATTCATGAATATGTATAATGACTGACATTTTATGTTTTTTAATGTAAACAAATGACTTTGATTTGGTGGACAAAAGTATTATTATTTTTGTAATTAATTAATTGTAATAATTAAATATTAATAGGCATTGAAGCAGTTTTGTTAAAATGTTCTCTTTTTAATAAATTATAAAATATTATGCATATAACTACTTAAAGGGATAGTTCACCCGAAAATGACAATTCTGTTATCATTTACTTACCCTCATGTCATTGCAAACCGATAAGACCCATAAGACTTTAATCTTTGAAAGACAAATTAAGATTTTTTTCAATTAAACCTGGAAGGTTTCCATCCCTCCATTGAAAGTCCAGGTAAGCATAGCTTAGAAGATCCAAAAAGGTCATAAATCCAAATGAACTGAGCCTAAATTAAATCTGATCATCATATAAAGTAATCATATCTCTTCACAAGACTTTTATTAAACAACACAATTCATATGGATTTTTTTATGATGTCTTCATGACCTTTGTAGCTTCCTTGGGATTTCAATTTAGATACAGAATTGTTTTAGGTTTCATTAAAAATATTAATATATAATTTGTGTTTCGAAGATTAACCAAAGTCCTATGGGTTTGCGAAGACATGAGGATGAGTAATTTTCATTTTTGGGTGAACTGTCCCTTTAAACATTTCTTTTCATTACTCTCATTATTTTAATGGGGTTTTTTTTCATTATGATATCAAGACAGTCGTGTCAAGCTGAATTTTTTGGCTTTATGCATCAAAATCAATTTAAAAACATGATGTGTGTTCAAGCCATTGTGAGCACGAATTGCATTTTTTATGTATCTTTGAATAAATTAATATATAGGGCAAAAAATTATGCCATTGATATTTAAAGGGGTATTTCACCCAAAAATGAAAATTCTGTCATCATTTACTCACCCTCGGTTTGTTCCAAACTGACTGTGGAACATAAAATAGGATATTTTGAAGAATGTTGGCAACCATTGACTTTCAATATATGGGGAAAAAAAATACTATGGAAGTCAATGGCTACCGTAAACGGTTTGGTTGCACGCATTTTTCAGATGTCTTCTTTTGAGTTCATTGGAAGAAAGTAACTCATACAGGTTTGGAACAACTTGAGAATGAGTAAATGATGTTCAGTGCAGCATATTATGCTGTGATTTCTGTGCTTTTTCTGAGTATTCTACTGAACCAGCGCACAGTAATCATGAGTTATTTCGTCCACAGGCTGCTATGAAAGCTGTGGTCGCCACAAGCCGGATGCACGAGGGCTCACGACGGCGGACAGACAGCTGCGAGATGCCCAACCCCGACAAGACCTCACGCCAGAGCAGCATACAGAAGGACAACACGCTGGATTCTCAAAGAGAGCCCATTCCCATTAAAGAGGGATCTGAGCAGGTTGAAGACAGGGCCCAGAGTCCCTCGAGTCCCCCCGTCCACCCTACCCATACATCTAAACCTTCTGGCCCCCCCGGGCCCATGCCCACTCGCCCACCCCTGATAGCAGAGGGACACAGGCAGACCTCCGTCCTTCCAAAGGCTCCAGTGGTTCGGCCCAGGGTTCCCAAGAAGAGCTGCTCAGTGGATCCCGGAGGCAAACACGAGCCTTCGCCAGCGAGCACCACCCCACCCAGTCCCAAGAACCTCAGTAATGGCTTCACCATGAGTGTGGAGGCAGGCGGAAGCACGGCAGAATGTCAGTAGCCTGGATGATCTATAGATCTGGATTCACGCGGAAGACAAAGGAGGACAAAAACGATGCTTTGACAACACACTGAGAATTTCCTCTTCTCCTCTTCCATTTTTGCCATGGGATTTTTTGATACTGGACTGACGTATGATGAGTCTTCATATGGAGGCATGTAGCTTTCGTGGCAACTTTAGGTTAGCGGCACAGTGAACATTGTCGTTTTTCTCTTTGCACAAGCATTGTGAATAAGATTGTCTCTCATCTAAACTGAAATTCATTTTGCTCTTTCTTCTATTGCTATCATATGCAACTGTTCACACAATCCTATTTTCTCTCTAAAGGTAGTGAGGATCATGTATCTGCGATGTTGTGATAGTATATATTTGTTTAGGAATGATTGCTAAAAGACCCTAAAAATTGTATTGCATACACTATTCATAAATGAATATATATATATATATATATATATAGATAGATAGATAGA